GCATCCATCCACTGCAGTCGTCCCTCCTCACACACACACACACACACACACACACACACACACACACACACACACACACACACACACACACACACACACACACACACACACACACACACACACAAAGTATTTGTCACACGTTCACATACGCAAACTGGCAATAACCCCCTACATGAAGATGTGGTTTAGGCATTTTGATTGGACTCGGGCCCTTTATTAACTACTGTTTATGAGGCAGAAGAGCTTCAAACCATAAGTTCCAACCTAACGTCAAGTGCAAGAGAGAGGGGATTTTTTTTTCTTTTTCTTTCCTTCTCTCTTTCATGGAGAGAACAGAATGTACTGAAGGCAAAAGGCAGGCAGGAAGAGAGTGGCTAAAGCCCTAATGATATGGTGTATGATTGTAACCTTGGTGTGTGTGTATGTGTGTTTGAGGGGGAGAGCAAGCAGAGTGGATGGACCTCTTCAACAAAGTTTTACTTTCAAGTCTGTTTGGTATTGTTGGTCCGAAGACAAAATGAAGTCCCTCTGGCTTTTTTGTTTTTTGTCCCTCTCATCCTCTTCCTCATCCTCATCCTCACTGTCTGGCTCTCCCATTGCATCTTTATCTGTCTGCCCATGTGTTCCAGTCTTTGTGTTACGAGTTTTACACGTGCCAACCTACGCCACCTACAGCAAAGGAAAGCAAAAACAGAACTAGTTTAGACCTGCAGATGTCATGTTGACGTTGCCCCTTTTTAAAGGCAAAGAATTAATGGAGTTTTAACACTTGCACATGCGGGGAATGGGAGTGTAACAGCTATAGTTTTTCATGTATTCTTTTTTATAGTTGTTGTTATCCTTGTGTGTGTGTGTGTGTGTGTGTGTGTGTGTGTGTGTGTGTTTTGATCTAACACTTTTTCGTGTACTCTCTCCAGTATCCAAGAACATTTGCTCCAGTTACCTATACATTTAAAATATAAAACTATAAACTCCAGTTGCAACACTCCTTGCTGAATCCTTTCATTCATTCCTTTATGCATCTGGCCTCTATTACCCCCCCTCCTACTGTCTGTGCATTGTATGTATTAGTCTTTGTTGTAACTTTATTAACCACAAATATATTAAATTAAATGCACCATGTAAACACAGTTGATACAAAAATAATACAGGCATTAAAACTGGATTTTAATGAATATAATATAATGCAGGCATTGCCCTGAAGATCCTATTATTTCAGTTTACAGCATGCTTTAGTGGTGCATAGAGTATGAACAAACCTGATTTTCAATAAATTAAATTACCACAAACTAATTGCCACGTGGTGAATCTGGAGTCATTAGTAGCCCTGAAGGTCTGAGGCTCCGAGGCAGTTGCCTGCTTTGGCTCAATGTGTTCTTGTGTTACTTTCCCATGTTCCTTGCTCATTTTTCTCATACTGCTACTGGTATTGTTTCTGGATCTACCTTCCTTTCTTCAGCCTCCTATGTGGTCATTTCACTCCTACATTGTCTTCACTCTCTAACCACCACACAGCCTCATTATTCAGGTAGAGGTCATCTCAAGCTAACTGTGCAGCAGCCTACACTCTCGCTGCCGATCAACAGTCTCACTGCCCTGTTTCTCGTAACAACGGCAGTAGGAGTGCAGAAGTTGGCGAAAGGTCAAGTAGGGAACTTCCTGCCCAGACTTCATGAAGTAGACGATGCCAGAGTCATACAGTGTAGTCAATCAGGGCTGGGTTTAAGCTGTTTCCAGTGTCCTTTTTTAATGTCTTGTGAGTGTTGTTACAGATGGTGTATAAGCTTAGATGATACCCTGCTTTCAGACCTGGGGCAGATTGTCACAATATTCACACAGGTTTGCCACACAGTCCGGAAAATAGCATGAATCTGTTAAGAAAGCAATCACTGGAATTTTTTAGACTGAAATCAGATCTGGACTGATCCATCTGATGCTCAGAGCAGACTAAGCAAAACCTTAAAAACATTTTTATATACTCCTTGGACCCTGGCCATAAAACCCAGACAATGCCCTGGTTAGGAAAAGGCTTCTGCAGAGAGAAGGCTTGGGGAGAGCCTGTTGGTGGCCTGGTTAAGAGCAGACAAGGCAGAGCGAGGGACTGGCAGTGCCCTGTTTAGTCCGTCATTAGGAATGTGTCTGCATAAAAGGGGTCAGTTTCCCTGCCTCACAGCTCTTACCCCCCTCCAGGTTTTCCATAATTGTTAAACAGCACACAGAACAGGGGAATGAAACTATGTGTTGAATTTGAGCCCTTTTCCTCCAAACTCCACATTTTCAAAACCCTGTTCTCAAACAGCTGCACACCTTGTGCTTTTCTTGCCACAGCGACAGGTGTGGAAAATCAAAGAAAGACAGGAATATTAGGGTTTGTTATCTAAGTGGGTCATGGTGCTAAATGGAAGAAATTTGTGGTCTAAGATTTAATACTGATGTCCTACACTCCTACGTAATTTCTTCAGGTCTAATTTCTTGCCCTTCCCTTTCCCTCTACCGTCCTGCACCTTCTTGTTTCTTCTCTCCTCCTCTCACCCACCACCCTTCAAATTCCCTTCTGTCTTGTCCCAAATGTAGCTAATGAGGCCCCAGCCCTGCGATAAGTGAATCAGGTATGTTGATTGGTTTGGCAGAGGCGGACCCTTGCCATAGTCGCTTTGCACGCACCGCCGCCCCTTAAAAGCGCCCACTTGGCCGTGCTGGTGTGCGTGTCTAAGAGAGATGGAGGGGAGAGATGAGGGAGGGAGGTAGAGTGCTGGCAAAGAAATAAAGGGAGAATGAAAGGAGAGGCAGGCAGCTTGCCAAGACAGGAGTAGCTGGACCTAGCGAAACACCATTAGTAACCAGGACGAGGCTCAACCAGAGCTGCTTTCAGAGTTGTTGAATTTCAGAAATCATTTAAGGGTTTAAAACCCAATCCTAAGATAATCAGAAAGATGGTAAAATAATAAAAACTGGACTTGAATGATGTTTCATTATTGAGTAGGTCAAGACAGTAGGACCACCAGCTTGGACCAAAAAAAAACGTTCTCCTCAGGCACATTGTTTAAAGACTATTCTCTTAACTTCAGTGGTTACATTTCCCCTGAGTTGCATAGTGCAGTGTGAAGAGCTGTCATGAAGAATTGAACTGTAGCTATTTAAACTTCTTTTGTGCCAGTGAGCACTCTCCTTTTTTATTGGATATATGGGAATTTTTCTAAGTACTTATACTCCACTGGAACAGGATCAGTCAGGGCAGGTTTGGATCACAGCAACCACCTCGAGAACACAGAGAAAAATTGGTCTACAACTCACTTAACAGGCCACAGCTGTGCAAAGCTAATGCAACACAAAATGACTTTATTGACTAAGGTGTTTTGGCATCTAAGTGGACAGCTAGGCTAGTGTTTTTTTCTCCGAAATTTTCCCCATTTGTCCTTTTATCCTACTCCCTCTTAAGACCATGCACTTTACAGTATTTCCTCAAAGGCTTGTTCTCCACTGAGAAGATTACCAAACCACTAGACCTCATGAAAGTATAGATTAATTAAAACGCTACAGCTTAATACTTTGAGTTTACATTGTGCTTTTTCCATAAAGTAATCGTTGCCATATTGACTTTCAAAGCTTATTGCCTTGATTTAATTTTCAACAAGATATTTAATGAATTGTGGGAAGAGTGGTTTGCGTTCTTTAACACCAAATGAAACGGTAGAATATATATGAAACTGTGCTGGAGTTAACCATAATGTCAAGTTATACCTTGTTGTATACCATGTACGCACATAATTCACACAGATAAAAAGATTCAGTAAATTTACTGCATTGGTTGATGTTTTTACAGCAGTAAAAGTTATTTAAGGTAAAACTGCAGTAGTCTTTATATATAGTAGTTTGTAGCTTCAGAAAGGCAGTCTTTGAACATGGTACTGTAGTCAAGGGGAAAGAAGAGCTATGGAGCTGGTTGCCAGGGGGTCGATAAGTGATGATGTGTGCAGATATGACGTCCTACCCTCAGGTCAATTTTCTCTTGCGGTCAGTGGGGGAAGCTTGGCAGAATAATGAGGGGAAGGGGAGTTATACAGTTTAGAAAGACAAGAAGAGCCCACAACCTGAATCATGCATGAGACAGAAGGTTCAACTGTTCGATTCATGGAGGCCATGCTGACAGGCAGACTGTGGTGTGCTAATAATCTATGTTCTCATCACATTGTAATGGCTGTAGAAACACACATCGAGCCTCTGGCATTATGCACTGACTAACAAGGCAAAGGACGAAACAGCTTGGGTATCCTTATTTGCAATTGTGGGATTTCTTAAAAGTCCGATCTTGTATCAGATCAAATTTATTTCTGCTTAGTGTTGTGATGGGGCTGTGATGTAGTGGTTGCCACGGTGACCGCTGTGTATGTGTGCAGAAGGGTGTATGTGAAGGAGCGGTGTTATTGAGATATGCTGCTGTCAGCAGAAGCAGGCAAGCATAAATCGATGTGGGAACAGCAGGGAGACGATAAAGTGTGTGTCTGTCTGTGTGTGCAAGCCTATGCAGGCATGTTGAAACCCCCATACTCACGCACACATGTATGCAGTGCTACCCCCATCTCCTTCAAAAGACAGGAAAGGTGAAATACATGGTGGTTCAGTGATGAAAAGGAAGAGACGAGCAGTTTGTCAGTATAAAATAATAAGAAAGGTACCTTTTCCACATATAATTTCATGTTTATTTTAATGAATGAAAGGTTGTAATCATTACTAAAAGAGCGAGATTTGTTTCTTTATGTGCCAGATCATGTGTAAATGTGTTTTTATTGTACATGCATTGGTGTTTGTCCTCATTTAGTCTTGTCCTATGGTTTGTGTTACAGTAATTAGATGGAAGTGTGAAATACTACAGTATTCTCTGTGTGCTACAATGAGCAGTCCTTTTTCTTCACTTACTGAGCTACCTTTTTGAGAATGCAAATGACTATCATTGACAAATTATGGATGACTAAGTGTTATTTCCTCTCTCCCTCCTACAGATGACAGATTCGTCTCCTAAACACCACTCTGAGGGAGCTTCAAAGTCTTAAAGTGACAGTCACCAAAATAAAGACTGACTGCAGAGAGAAAAGAGTATTTCCCTTAGGACCTAAGGGACTTGATATCACTACCACACAAATGTGGACCTCCCAAAACGTCATCAAATAAGTGTAACAACAAAACAAACACAAAAGATATAACACGGAATTTTATAGCCATGTCTGAGCATAAGGACATGACACATCGCCACCTGCGGCATAAGCTACAGAGTCTCGGCCGAAGGCTGGAAGAACTGGAAGAAGCAACCAACAAGCTGCAGAAGTCTGAGGATGAGCTACTTGACCTGCAGGTCAGTACAGGTTGACTGGTTCTGATTGGTTCTGACAGTGTGTTTGTTTGTGTGTGTGTATGTGTTTGGGCATTTCAGAAAGAGTGAAACGGGATGTAACAGAGATACTCTACATGAATAGATTATTGACTGGTTGAACTCTTTCTCTCCTCTATAGGACAAAATCATCCAGGCAGAAGGCAGCAACTCATCTCTGCTTGGTGATGTGGAGGTCTTGAGGAAATGTCTCTTGAAGATCCAGGGTAAAGATGAGGAGGTACGCAAAGCTGAGGACCTCTGCCGCACAGTCCGAGAGAAACTGGAAGAAGAGGAAAGCCTTACACAGGAACTAAAGGCCGAGATTGAGCGTCTACAACGGAGGATGGCCGAACTGGAGAAACTGGAAGAAGCTTTTGGGAAAAGCAAGTCTGAGTGCAGCCAGCTCTGTCTGAGCCTCAATGAGGAGAAAAACTTGACCAAGAAGCTCTCGTCTGAGTTGGAGGCCCTCAAAGCACGTTTGAAGGAGGTGGAGGGGTCTGAGACAAAGCTGGACAGAGCAGAGCAGGCTTTGGCAATTGAGCTTGAGAAGCTCAAAGGATTCACCCAGACCTTTGTGAGTGAGCGTAAGAGGCTACTAGAGAAACAGAGAGAGGATGAGAAGATCATTCTAAAGCTGACAGAAAAATTGGAGCAGCAGAAGAACCGCCTTGGCATGTCGGCAGACCCTGGTCGTACAGATTTCATTAAATCACGTATTGAGGATGAGCTTTCATCCACTGGGCTCCTCACAAGTAAACTGACGGGACGCAAGAAGAGCCTTGACTACTTGAAGATGGCTGATGACAATATTGGTCTTTTGAACAAATCTGAGAATGAGAAGAACAGCGGTCTCGAAGGTTCGCAGGAGGAGGACAACAAAGTAAAGGAGCTGACACAGGAAATTGAGAGACTGAAGAACCGTCTTAAACAGCTGGAGATAGTGGAGAAGGATCTAAAGAGCTCAGAGTCCGAAAATGGCGAACTTCTTGAGAAGTTCCAGATGGAACGAAACAAGGCTCGCCAACTAAGCGAGGAGGTGGAACAGCTGAGGACGCAGCTTTGCGGAAAAGGTGGAATCGGCAGAAATGGAACCAGTAATGTGGATAAACACGGCAATGGAAGCACTAACATTTGCCCCAACAGTCCTGCTAAGGTCCTTGAGAATGGCAAAGCTGAGAATGAAGAGATTATTGTGAAGGGAAGTTTCAGACAGGAGAAGCCCAAGTATAGGAGTGCTGCAACTGTGTCAGAACCGAGTTCCCCCAAACACAGGAACAGGGAGCTCTCTCCTCAGCATAAGAGAGAGACCAAGCTAAGGAGCAAAGACCTGAGTCACTCAGAGGAGAGCTCTCCTAAGTCTGTAAGAAGAGCCCTCAGTCCTGCACACAAAAGTAGAAGGACACCCAAAACCCCAACTACTGCAATTACATCTGATAATGGAATAAAAGACACAGGACGAGGAACTGAAGAAAAGACAAGAGGAGCCACTCTCTGCCCTGTAAACACACCTTCTAGTGATATTAAAAAAGCATCTGTTCTTAGTCGCTACCCTCCAGCAGCTAATGACCAGAAGCCCCTGAGGACAACTCACAAACAGACTGATGGGGAGACTAAAAAGAGCAGAGTAGAAAAGTTTTCAAAATTGTACGTTGGTAGTGATAGCGAATCAAACAACTCTGATGTAGTGCCTGACAGTTCCAGCAACGTCAACAGTATCTCTGCTTTAGAGAAGGACACAGCGTCTGCTTCAGATCAGGAATCAACAGACCAGGTTCAGGAATCTGTCTCTGTATCTGTCGCCTCCACCCTGTCCAAAGCCAATGGATCCTACACAGCCTACAGATCCCAAGTCACTCCACTGCCGCCCAACGACCAGGGATCAGAGGGTCATTCATCCGCCTCCGAAACTGAATCTACTGGTTCAAGGCCCTCTGAACCAGAGCCTGTAACTGAGACGAGTACTGCAACTGTAAGCAGTCGGACTGCAACCTCCAGATATCCTAGACACTCCCATGTCCATGACTCGCATTCAGAGGGATCTTCTACCAGGAGCTCATTTGACGAAGAGCTCCACAGCAGCAGAACACCGTTAGCTGAGGGAGGCCACCAGGGGCCCACGCATACTCCATCAGGGATTGAAATCCAGCGAGTGTGCAGCCCACGTGAGGCACTGAGGTCAAAGGCTGTCATCAAGCCTGCGATCATTGAGATCGACAGGAAGGAGGTGATGATTTCAGAACCTTTGTCTACAAATGGCAAACCCAAAATCTCTACCAAACCTATCGTGACCACCACTAGTAAAATGACCAGTAGTATAACCATCTACCCCAATGACCCAAGCTCTTCTAGAACCAGCAGTCGCAGCAGCAGTGTGTCCAGTGAACCCTTGCCAATCAAAGAACGTCATACCTCCACTAGTAACATCGTCATAGGTAAGTTTAGTGGACACTTAAATTTTACATAAATTATCATTACAACAATAACTGAACTTTGCTGTATGGCACCCCCTCTCTCTGATCTACCTTTCCCAAATAAAACCCCATAAGGTATTTTATAAAAACATGTTAGCGGCTCTGTAAGTCTGTACTTTTTGATGATTCATTTTACTTGTTGCCAGGCCCCAGCAGTGAGCATCATGGCAGCATCTCCATCCCGTATGAGATCTCCATTCCCAAGAGTGACATCACCTTGCGGCCGTGCCGGGACCAGGACTGTGGGGTGGATGACCACAATGATTCTTCATCAAGGTCCAAACTCCACAACACTTCCAGAGTGGAGACCACCACCAGCCACCTGTGTTGCCAACGTAGCAACTTCAGCACCCAATCCCCGGACACCACCTCCGCGGACTTTAATGACACAGAGTCAGGCTTCGAAAGCAGCAGCAGCAGTAGCACCACCACGGTCACCAGCTGGAGACGCCAAAGACAAAACCAGCACTCCCAAGAAGACAGTTTACCAGACATGAAGAATGTGACTGTGAGAAGTACCTGGAGAACCCGGGGCACTGCGTCAGTGGATGAGACAGGCCGGGGAAGAGGGGGTACAAGGATGTTGACTGATGGTGGTTCGGAGGATGAAGCAGAAACTGCAACAACATGGAGGGCTTACCGGGCAACAACCTTCGATACAGAAGAAGCGATAAACAGCGGAACAGGAACTGGTGCGAACGCTGAAGCACAGAAGGGAGCCAAGCCGTCCCCTGCAGAGGTGAGATAATGAATAAATGTATGAGACAAAGTCTGAGTACATTCCTTACACAAAAGGAATAATACATTGGAGGAGAGGAGTACTTTATAGCGGCATAATGAAGCTCTTTGTGATGCATCCTGTCCCAGGTATACATGCGCAGAATCAACAGAGAAGTTGAGGAACCTGGGCTTCGCCGAGGCAAACGCTCACAGTCTCCTACCACGGAGGCAGGAGGCACGGGCAGGATTATACCGCACGCACCTGTTACCTCCCAGTCCTGGGGCCGATCATACACACAACAACCACAGGTAGGACTTTTTGCCCTCATGAGATGTGTTCTTTTTAAATGATGCAGGTATATAGAAAGTGTTGAATGCAAATTAAATATTTATTAGTCTTCATCAAATGGCAAGCACTAAATAAGTGTCAAGGTTTAGCTTAACCTGGTTGGTAATTTGACATGCTTGGATATATTTAGTGTGTTGACAATATGGAGGGACAACTGCTCACTTAAAGAAAATAGTTTTTTCTATGGTCTGTGTATCACTAATGCATGGTCTGTTTGTTTCCATTAATATGATAAATGTTTCCTAGTGCTGGGTTGCAGCATATTTTTTTATAGCGTTTTGTTTACATTGAATGTCAAAATAATTACCTGTGGGTCATGGAAGACAGCTTCAAACTAATTACTTCTTAGAAAAGTGGTCCTTGTGTCCTGTGTCTGCTTTTTCTGTAAATTTGTCAACCATTTGTCAGAGCAAACATGTGCCTGAGCTATTACTGCAGAATGTGGCTTCTAAATTACTCTGCATTGCTATGCAGGTGAAGGTATTATCCGCACCACTCTGCAAATAGTTTTGTCTCGAAGATAAAAGTTCAGAAATTACAACCACAGGGCTGAGCTCCTGGTGTGTCCACTTTGCATGAGAGCTCAGCTTGTATTTTTCCCTGACGCCAGGCTCTGTGACTTCAAGCTTAGAACAGCAGTTCTGTAGGCCCCACTCCTGCTGCCCCAGTAAGCACAAAGAGAAAAGGGTGGGACAAAAAAAAGAGGGAGGATGGAAATGAAAAAGACCTCAACAGGGGGAAAAGAAGGTTAGGAAACCTCAAGGAGAAGAAAATAGCTTTCTTGTATTTAAATGTGCCACCACATTACAGTCTGTGCCCCTGCCAGGCTGCGTTGCTATTCTCCCAAACATTACTGAAGATAACTGCCTAAATACTCACCTCCACATAATACATGTGTAAGATTAACGTGTTTGTGATCCACAGACATGCTTTTTTCCCCCACATACTGTATGTATATCACAGTGTAAGAGCTTATGTTTTTTGCAATAACTAAAAGTTATTATCAGGAATTAGTTATTTTGAAATATTTTGGTTTTCTTTTCACATGTAGAATGGCAAATCTTTCGCCACTGTAAGCACAACCTGACACATAACTTCTCCAACACTTGAGACTGGTTGTGGAGCTGTTATAAAGAACACACAAGAGCCAGATTGAGCCCTCAGATCTCATGTATGTGTGCTTATGCATTAACATGTGAGATGTGAGATCTACAGTTAAATTAATGGAGTGTGAAAGTTTATGCAAGTCATCAGAAAGATGAGGTGAAAACTACAAATGGGCTATTAGTATTAACTAACTTGTCTATTGGTATATAATATATTGTTAAACGACTGTAGTACTGCTTACAGAGTGGGCTTCATGGCTACAATAACATGTCAGTCTGTCAGTTTGACAAACTAGGTTGGACTTTGGGCCTTTGGGTAAGATCTGTGTTTTCTTCTATAAATAAACTAAACGTTGCCAAGGAGACAGACACACACATGCAAAGTGTCTCATCCATCATCTTTGGTCACATTTGCGATCTAGGGTAAAAATAGTTTTTGTCTTGCATTTATATAGCACACAGAGATCTGTTACAAAAGATCAGTTTACTTAAGACTTCATTATTTGTTTGACTTCACGCAGTTTACTACGTTGGAATATAGTCAGTAGTAGCAGTAGATAGAAACCGCAGTGTTGTAGTAGTAGTGCATTGAAGGGTTTTGGACTAGGTCAGGACTAGGACTTCAGGAGGTTACTCGGTCGCGTTTGTGTTTTGAACCAAAGTTGTGCAATGCTGTTATTGTCAGGGCCAGTTTTTAGCTTCATGGGGACTCTTCCTCTGACAACTATCACTAAGGCTGGCCCTTAACCCTTTTTGGTACAAACTAATGCGTCATCAAGTGCAAGAAGCTAACATCTGGTCAGATTGGTAATAACTTATTCTCCTTGCAAATGCTTGCACTTTCAAAAATGTACATTTAAGAACTTCGGATGTTTTTGTCAGATTAACAAAGTATATATTGACATGTTATGTTATAATTCTCAAAGTAAGTTATTGAAGAAAGTATCATGTTGGTATCCATGCCAAAACTCAGGTATTATATTAGCATTAATATAAAAAAAATTCAAATAACAGTCAGCCCTACCTTTCACATTATAATACTAAGTTGCACAGCCTGTACTGGCTTAGATGAACACTGGTCATGTTGTTCTTCACACTGCTTCTCTCTAACATGTTAAAAATTGTATTTTGCTGTGAGCGTCAATCAGAGTATCGTACAGACACAAATTCACACCAGTATGCTCCAGTCAGAGCAAAGACAATGAATACAGATGTCAAAACCTTCAACTGGGGTCTCCAGCCTTTGCGTAAAAACATAACTGATAGCATGGCCTTAGAGCTGTCATTGCCCCCTCTGATTAGCCTAAATGGGTTTAATGGAATAGTCTAACACTGAGCCTTAATGACCCCCTTCAGCATTGATACAGACTTGTAGAAAGAGCATTATGGGACAGCCACCTTTGTGCTGTCTCTGAGACCTCCCCTCCCTTCCTCTCTCTTCCATCCCCCTGTTTAATTTGTCATCCAAGCCCTGACATGAGCAAATTGGCTCGAAGTCATGTATATAAGGAGCTCTGTCAGGGTCATTGCCCACATCAGTTCTGCCACATAGCCTTGACCCCAACCCTGCATTTTCAGGACAGACTACTCATTCTCAGTGCAGTTCATAAGTCTCCTGCTCTCCTCTTTCTGTCCCATATCACTCAGCCTTGATGGCCTGGTTACCGTAGAGCCCTGGATATAAGCAATTTAATGAGTCCCTGCCATTGGTTCCTGTCCTGTCTCTGATGTGGTAAATCATCAGCAACCTGATGAACTGCCTTTCCTGTTGTCACTCCTTCAGTTTTTTTTTGTCAGTTGTACACTTCGTTATGGGAATTTCCCAAACCCTCTTGGTTGACTCTGCGGTACAATAAAACCTTGTTCATCCTGATATTTGATGCATGAACTGGTCAGTCCATTTGGATAGCAATTATGAACAAAAATTGCTACAGTGCAGAAAAAACATACTTCAATTTATAATTGGGCTTTGAAGCATGTCTTGGAGCACAGCCGATCATCTTTGGTTTGGATTTTTAGAAAATTTCAGTGGTCTGAACAGCATCCATTCCCAAGAGGTTTGGATAAATACAGCTGTAGTCGGAGGCACATGGATTGATGGAAGAGGAATGTAACTAGTCATCATTAACTGACATACCATTGATCTTTTTTCACTTGGTATCAGTGCTCCTCTATCTTTGACTAGAGCTTGATCCCTTGTGAATGTGAAGCAGCTGTTTATATATGATGATGTGATATTACTGTTTTAGACGTTTACTCCTAAATTCTCTTTGAACATAAAAATATTGGTTGAAAAATGGGTATTTTTTCTAGAGATTAAAATCGATGTCCTGTCTACATGCCTTGGATTTCTTTGTAGGACAATTGACATCAAACGCTTCCCAGAAATGAGAGTAGAGCAGACTGAAAATCCGCTTACTTACCAGTAAGGCACTATTGATCAATAGTCATTAAGGAGGAGACAACACTCCAAATACCCAAAGTACCCTAGAGCGACCTGGACAAGATGATAGATTATTGATTAGCTTTCTTTTTTCAACCTCATGTATAAATTATTTGAATGTCATTTATTCAAACCTTTATAGGACAGAGAATGACATCTTTTCATCTGGTGAAAGGTCAGGGTCCAAATCAATGGCTGCTGTTTAACCTTGACTGTTGCCTCTAGTGGTATGGCTATGAACAAATGTCTGCAAAACTGATGACACTAATGACATTTCCATCAGTCTCAGCAAATATTAGCATGTTAACATGTCAAACTAAGATGGTGAACTGTATGCCTGCTAATCAGCATGTAATTGTCATTGTGATCATGTTAGCATTAGCTGATTATAGCATATAGCTCAAAGCACTGTTGTGCCTGAGTACAGCCTCCTAGATGCAGAACTGGTAGCAGGGAAAGAGCATGCAGGACTTGGTCTAAAACACACTTGAAGGCCAATTCTGACAGTTCAGTATGAAAATGGGGAGTGCTTGCTTTCTATCGCTGTCACTCCACACCTCATAGTACAGAACAGAATAGCATTGTAGTAATTCCTCCCTACTGTAGCAGTAGGAAACCTCAGCCTGTCTATGAATTAGTCGCGAACTTATGTTTGGCTGAGAACAGTGGGGCCGATATGGCCGATGAGCAAGATACCAAAACATCCTTTGTTGAGTCAAAAACCAGTGGCAGCAAGGTAAAGTGTGGTATAAGAGCTGCTCTACTATTCATCGTTCGCCTGATGTGACCTGCACAGAAAAAAACCCTGTGGAATAACAGTCTGTGCAGCAGCTGCAGTTGGACTGTGGGATGTTTTCAGTTGTAGAACATGAGACACTGAAACAGACATTGTATGAATGACCTGTGAAAAGCAATAAAAGAATGGTTTTTCTAAATCATAACCAATAAACAGATCATCCTCTGGGCAAATGAAACACAAATTTCACCTTTTTCCGAAACATTTTACCTGGTGTGTTAAGGGTATTGCCTTGCTCGAGAGGTGATTTAAGAGTTTGGATTGGCAAGACAACACCATTCCTTTAAAATTGGGCGAGAGACCAAGGGCAGACAGATTTAAAGCAGGGGTATAATTTGTTCTGCAGAAGCTCTGACACGCTACTTGTTATTTCTTAAATCTGCTGGCCTTCATATGGTATTAGAGCGCAGAGGTTCCTCACTGCCTGTCTGGTTTTCAAAGTGAACTCCTGGAAACTGCACTGACAATTCTTAAACGGAGTGCATGAGCTGAATGAAGGATTTGTAGAGATTAAGTGTCTACACATAAAGTCTAAAACACCCTTAAATACTTTTTGAAATACACACTTATTTTCTTTCTTGCTGAGAGTAAGATACCATCCCCATGTCTGTACGGTTAATATTGAAGTTACAGCCAGCAGCTCATTAGCTTAGCTTTGAGATTGTCCAAGAAACAGTCCAGCACACAACGTGTAGTTTTTACACTTTGGTTTGTGAGCTTTAGAGGTCCTGGTAGACAGAGATTGTTTTTAGTCTTTTTGCTAAACTAAGTTAAGATAATTGGCTGCTGGCTCCAACTAGATATTTACCATACAGATATGAGAGTGGTATCGACCTTAAGTAATTCTAGGCGATAAGTATAAATAAGTGTATTTCCCAAAATGTCCAAACTTTTTGACATATAAAGGTTTGTGCGAGATACCTAACAGCACTGCTTTTCTTACTCCCACCGTCTCTTTTTTTATTATGTAAAATCATCATGCTGTGCTGTCAGAAATGATTTCGTGTTTCTGATTATAACAGCCTATAAATGTGGGTTTTCCAAGCTGAAGGCGTTCTGATGTGATCTGCAGGAGCAGGTCTGTGATGACAGCAGCACTTGCTGTTCCCAGTAGATTTCCTCTGCTCTGGCACATCAGCTTACTTAACAGCATTCATTACAGACTGACTTTCCTTTTGCCCAAATATTTTCTTAAATTAACTTTCAGCCACATGGGAAAAAAGCTCTCCATTGGCACACGCAGAAGTTACTAATTTTCCTTCTACTGAAGCTACATATCTTTTAAAATCTGTTCTTAGTTCTTTAGTGCACTATACTCATTGTCATTTCTAAGCTTTTTCTTTTAACTTTGGGTGAATAAATGCCAAATCTTTATTGTCATGTGTGTATTTATTAACTTTAGTTAATTTAAGTCTGTTACAATGTGTTGAACAGTGTAGAAGCCTCCTGTTGAGTGTAGGAGGAACACTGGAAGTGCATTACATGGCAATCTTGTGAAAGCCCCCAGTCTCTTGCAGCAGTGGCTTACCATAGAAGGAGAATATGCCACTCTGCCGTTTCCTCCCCTCGGTGACTGGAGCAGGAAGTGACCACACTGAACACGCCTACTTGGCAGAGTCTGCTGGTGACTGATTTCCTGTCTGGTTACCCCTGGAGACCTAGAAAGGCAGTCCAGCAGGGCTCCATTAAAGCCAATTAGCTAGAATGCATTCTAAAACTGCATCTGAAGCCAACTCCAACCCACCAAATGTCACTAATTATGGTGCTTTTTTAAAGCTGAAATTACAGGAGCGGGGTGCTGTTTCTGTGTGCTTTAGGAACTGCATCGTCATCTAACTCTCGCTTTCTTCAAGCAGGGTTACTGAGGTTATGAGAGGGGGACGTGCCGTTGTAGCCACCACAGACTAGTAACTTGGGGTTTGTTTTCTAGTCAGCCCACCAAATTATAAATCTCTCAGCTTGGGGTATGTTTGGGGTTTTTGGTCGGGGATTTTTCCCCTGGCAGAAGTCCACATGGCAGACTTTCCTTGTCACACACCAGTTAACATAAACAGCATGTATTTAATGCCCACATAAGTCCAAACTAAGTGCCCAGAGCTCCTATACACAACTCCAGAATATGGTATTGAATTAACTGACCTCTATTGAAATGTTTGTGTTTCTGACCAAGTCAATGCCAAACCAATCCACCAACTAGAACTTTCTACAGCTGCCAATCCAGACTGTGAACAACATTTTTTCTTTATCTAATTTTCTAACCTTTCCAGGCTGCTGATGGAGAAGAGCCCAGTCAAAACCCGAGCCACAGCCCAGCCTCCTGGCGGCGGCAGCTACCCACCAGTGACTCTCACCACCTGGGGAGCTCTTATGACCGGGCGTCCAAGACAGCAGGGGCCTCTTCCAGAGGGGATTTGTGGTCCAGTCGGGGTCAAGGGTCAGGGGCTAGACCCGAGGGGAGGAGTGGAGCGGGGAGCAGACCCTGGAGCCATCGTCAGTCTGAACATCATTAGAACAACAGGGTCTGAGCAGGACTTCTACAGTGAAAGGACAGGTAGGAGAGGGCAGGGTCTTTTATTTACTTCTGGCTCCTGAAACTTATTAATTAAAGGAGAGTGAGATTAATTACCCCTGTTGGAATCATGTCACATCTCTTAAGGGGGTTTCAAATCAAATTTGCAGCACCAAGCTGCTGTAGCCCATTTAACAGTACTGGGTTTAGTACATCTATCATGGTGGCAGCAGTGTGATGGTTTAATAAGTAGGGTGATGCCCAGTGGGAAGTCCCAGGTTCACTGCATTTAGCAGTTAGCATCCACCCTGCTGAGGTGTCCTTGAGAAAAGCAATTCCAGGTGAACTTTACTGAAACCTAACCTGCAAGCAAGCATAGAGAGGATTCCTTTATTGTTCTTAATTATAAGAATATTTTCTTTCCTGGAAAGAACAATGTAATTTAGCACTAATTTCCTTGAAAGAAAAGTTCCATTTAGACTAGAGTAAATATTCCTTCATTATGAATTTATCATCAGAAACTTTATACTTCATACATGTTGAATTGCATACAGTTTCAGCTGACTGGCAACACACTGACTAAAAGACTTTGAGTCTTGCTGGAAATTAATTGTAATAATTTTAATTGGAAGTGTACCAATTGAACATCTATTTTCCCAATAGTTAGTACATAATTACCTTGTTCTTTCTGGCAAGCCTTCTGGGAAATTATTTGGAAATGACCAACCAATCATGTTTCTAAAATAAGTTGAATAGTTTGTGTTAAAGTCTCATGGACTAAGTAAGATCTTTCTCTTATTTTCGTTTCTTAACAGCACTCAATTAATCTCTCAATGGCACAAGGAGGGCCAAACATCAGTCTCCCATCAACTAGTGGCTACACCATTACCACCATCTCCAAAAGTCCGCATCTGCAGCTTTTATAACAAGCAAAGAAAAGAAAAAAGAAGTTGCAGCCATATAGAACAACAAATCACAGACATAAGCCTACTTATTATGACCCTGAGTGTACCCTGAGACGTCAATGCTCCTCCTATCTGGAACTTTCTCTGTCCCAAAAGAGGCATAAATGGAAAGACAGTGCCTGTACAGTGTTTTGGAGGTCGTCTCACCAGCCCATGTATCCTCTTCTGCTTCTCGCGTTGGATGTATTATAGTGTAATCTCGAAACTTGACAAGGGAGAGGTTGGCATGCTGGGGACGACTGGAGATTTTCCTGCGTGCCAGAGAGGTTTAAAGAGAGTTCGAGGAAGAAGGACTCAAAAGTTGAGAATGCCTTTCTCAGAGGACCATTACAGGAGCCGGATATGTTGCTTCTGCATCAACAGTTCTACATCACTGAAAAAAACAACCCAATCTTCAGTCAACTGCAGTACAATGTTTAAGATGCATCTTCATCTCACAGGGCTGGATCTCCACATGCAGAATTCTTCACAAACTAAAGGAAATTTACCTTAAATGTGACCAAAAACAGGAAGCGAATTACTGTCTTTGCTGACTCGTACCATGATATCTATTTTCTCTTACTCAATTCATATTTGCTTGGACAGCTATATGTGCTTTTTTTCTGATTTTCTCACACATTTGTACACAAAACCATATAAACACATGCACAAACAACATGTACATTTTAAAATGTTTGGTTTATTTTTAACCCGTGTCACCACATTCTGGCATGCAGCCTCAAACTTGATTTCATTTGGGGTCTTTGATCTTAAGCAAACATTTGCATGTTTCTAAGTAATAACTGAAGAGAGCACTTGAAATATTGTGACTCAGCATGCACGCTGCTTAAATAATTGCTGGTTGGCTGCATTTAAGGAGCACACACGCACACACATTATTTCTGACAGACCGGGACCTTATTTAAGCTTTTTTTTTTTGCCATTTTCACCACTTATTTTGATTCTTTGTAATTCGCTTCCTGTTCTGCATTATCCTTTTCCCTTTCTGCTCAACCATATCAAGACAAAAAAAATGTAGTTTGCACGCAATGAAATGCAATGCACATGTAGAAAAAAAAAAGAATAATGGGGGGCATGCTACAGTTTCCATGGTGCTTTGTTTTACAGCTGTTGCAAATGTCCTCATTCATGTATTTTGAGAGAGCCATAGCAAAATGGAGGTTCTGTTTTAACTGAACATTGGACTTTGGATTACCAGCAAACCTGGCCTGGCAAGGCGGACTAATTTTCAGTGCTGCTGTAAATACTGTGTACATGCCAGCCAGTCATAGGAAGACTCAAGACTTCTAACCACAAGGAACTGACAGTCCAGCTTGTGTGTGACTCGGTTCGCCGTGCGAATCGTCCCAGCTTATCTCCATCTCTTATTTCTATAGAAGTGTATTATTTTGTAACATCATAAAATATCAACTTGTGGTTGATATGTTGGAGCAATCTGCAGCCACTGCAGCAATGGGGGTGCCACAGAAACCGATTTAGTCGTGGCCAGTAATAAATAAAAAGGTGTTTTCATTTAGGTAAATGGTGCGTATCTATGACCGAAACCTCACTGAGATTGTCAAACCTTTCTGTAATGTTAGTCTTTCAACAGGCTCCTGCTGGATTTAGGATGTGACATACCACATTCATTGGAGTTTGACAGGCAATGTACACTTTGTTCCTGCTACAAATGTATGAATGTTGCTATTGAATGCAGCTGAGAATGAGCAATTGCTTGATGACTTGATGCACCAATCCAACACGATTGCATTCCTTGTCTTTCTGACAAGATCATGTAACCATAACTGTGACACCTTGGGACACATGGATCTGCTGAAGAACTTTTAAAGTCTCCATCTTGTTCCTTTGCTGTTATGACTTTCAGTGCTGCGATGAGTCAGACCCTGCTGGGGATGGCCTGTTTCAGTCTGAGTACATTTCTCACTTCTCTTGTATTCTACCAGCCACAATCTAATATTTATTAGTCTCCATATATGTACAGGTTCTTTTATTGTGAAGAGTTCTGCCGGCAGGAGCCTAGTCTGTCGCCGCTTTGTCACTTTATTGTTTATGCAAGCAGGAGATTATATGCAATCAATAAACTGCCCCCCCCGCCACCCCTCATGCAATGTCTGTAACTATCAATCATCATTATTGTACATGCAGATCAGAGGTGATGACTGTGTAGTGATAAGTCCAAACTAAAATGTTTTCAGAATTCCATTGATTTCCATTTATTTTACCCTTTGATTGAAATATCTACAGTTGTTCATCTGTGCCTTGAGATGCAGTAAGAGAGGTAGAATGTCCCAACAAATTTAGACTTGCACCATATTCTTACACTGTGCAGATAAATGACATGCAATACTAATTGTGAGGTTCTTTTTTTAACTTTATATTTTTGACATTCAGAGGATTGTTGTATGGAACATCGTAAAAAAGTATTTTGGTTTAAGGTTCTCAGAGGGAACTCCTCCCTGAGGTATGTCAAAGCAAGGTTCCCTTAGAAAAAGCTAGTTTTTTTTTCTAACCTAACTTCAAAGTACTATTTTAAAGAATATAGACCGCACCGCCTAAAAAGCTACGTCCCTAGGATTTGTCTCTGAGTCGCAGGGTGCAGCGCAGCCTCAGAAAGGATTGCCATGTGGCCTCTTCATGGCCACTGCTGGCTTTATGATAGAGCAAACACAGACCAGACATACTGTTCAGAGCTCTTAGTGCACACGCCAAGACTTGATGATCATATAGCCTTTCTGCGCTTTCTCTGTTATTGTTTCTACTACCACTCTTCTCATTTACCAAGAGGGGATGCCATCTCTTCCCCAATCTATCATCTTTTCAACCAATTCCAATTTTCCTTTTAGTATTTTAGAGAAGTCAAATGTTCCTCCTTCCCCCTTTCCTCTCTTCCTCCTTCTTCCTCTGTTTCTCTGCATCTTCCTTGGATTCTCATTTCCTAAAGGGAAAGCCAAGTCCTAAACAGCGGTGATATGTGTTGTTGGTTCAGAGAGTTGTTGTTTTGTTGAAGGCCAGAGGCCTGTCACCAGATAGTGATGGGCAGCTCCCTGGGTAGCTGAAAGGTCAGAGGTCAGGGCTGCATCTAATCCTGTCTCTACGTCTTGACTCAGGGCTTCTAAATACAGGAGGGAGGAAGACGGACAGCTTGGCAGCAATGTCCACTTTAGGGATAATTAAAACAGATGAGGGTATTGAGTGTCCGGTTCTGCCTGTGCTCATGCTGCCAGAGATACACGTGGTGCGGTTGTCCATCTGTGTGTGTTGTTATTAATATGTCAATGAGGGCTCTCGTGTGTTGTGAGCTGCTGCAAATCCCCGAGTAAGAAGGTGCTGAATGACAAATGTGCACGTGTGTGTGGCTGGAGATGTGTGTTTTTTTTTTTTATATATTTGAGGCTTACATCACTGTGGGTCAGGATTACTGTATATAGCAACTTGGTGATGCAAGTGCTAACACAAATGCCCTCCTCAGCCCTTATCGTTCACACCTTTAAAGTTCACCTGTTTCCCTCCACGCAATAAACCATCTACCATGCAAACTATATTACAGTTCCACCCGTCCTCACTACAACTATACTGTGCGACCTCGATCATTCATTCGTGTCTTTCACTTTCCTTCATTCTTCTACCTCCCCCCCCCCACCACCCTGAAGAGAGTATTTGAGTCGAGGGGTCCCAGGAAGAGCCCAGCTGTCGGAAATTGTAGGTTTTATGACGCGTTGGAGGGTTCCCCTCCTGGAGACCGGCTTCAAAGAAAGCAGGGCTTCTTGAAGGGCAAAGTTGAAACTGCATCCTCCGTTAGTCATGCTGCCTTTCTTCCTTACAAGGCCCCAAAGTACACTAACACCCAACTGACTGCCATCCACTGACTCCTAGCTGGACTCTCTGTGTGCCAGGATGAAGACCAGTCGAGGCTTCTATCTATGTGTGTTTTAGGCTACATGCCCACTATTCACATGTTATTGGTTGTATTCGTTGCTTCCAGTGGCGAGAGCCTGTAAAGTGTTGACACCGAGGAATGTACTGACTAGTCATCTGGGACTCAAGCGAAGACTTTACAGGTTTCAGACTTCTATGGCTTTTGTGGCACTATAAAGAAACAGCTGGGGGGCTCTTTCAGAGTTTTTGTCAGTTTCCTCTCCTCCCTGAATGATGGCAGTTTTGCCGAACATTTGTTGAATCGGAGAAATGTTATGATAGCTGCCGCTGGAGCAGAATATTTAGGACATGATAAAATTCCTGCAAGGACAAGAGGTGGTTAAGCAGTGGAGAGAAAAGAGGCTGCTTCCGCTTCCCTGCTCAAATACCAACTAAAGAGTTAACAGAAATCCTCTTAAGCTCTGCTGGTGTATAAACATCCGTTATTTACAAGTCATTGTTTTTTCCTTTTAATAAAGTAGACTAGAATGTACTTAGCAGAGATTGGAGTGGCCAGGGAGAAATGGCTCTTGGGCAGCGAGCGGGCCGTTGTCCTCAAAGGCCTCCATTGTGAAGCCAGGGTCATGGTGTCATTGGGTGGCGTAGGCTGTAATCTGCACTTAACCAGCACTTAACTTTAAGACCTCAAACGACTAATGCCCCCTTAGTCCCCTTTGTCAAAAAGTTTCCTTTAACTCTGTTTCAGTAGCCGTTTGCTGAATGTACCGCAGACATGTTATGTGTTTTTGCACCAGCCAAATTAGAGTATTTAAGAGTCATCTCACCTGTTAAAGAAAGGAAATTGTCACGCACTCAGTGAATGAATAATCTTTGAGCATATTTTTTGAGGTATGGCACCCTGTTACGCCTGCATCTCAGCCTTCTAACATTGTGCCAAAATCATTCCACAGTATTTCTAGTTTACAGATAGAGACAGAGCCAGTGTTTCCCCAGATGGATACCCTGTCTCTAAAATACTGAAATTAAGGGGAAAATGTCAATTTGAGGGTTTTCTCTTTTTTTGGTTTGTTTTTTCTGCTTATGTATGTTTTTATTTCTTTGTTAAACAAAAGATGTCTTATTTTGGAAGCTATATCGAATAGATTTTATTTAAGGAAAATCTTGTAATTTTGTAAAGTGGGCCTTATTATTGATATATATTAAGTATTTGTCCATCTTGATTTTAAGAATGATATTTTTTTTTTGCAAGATAATGTATCTTCCTCATTGTTATTACACTCCTGGAGAGTACTTCTTCCTGTATTTTTGTGTTTGTTATTTTAATGCAAGACATTTCTCACAACCTGCAGACATGATGGCACACCATAGATCAGAGAGAGAGAGAGAGAGAGCATTAAAGAGAGAGAGGCCAGGGTTGTGTCATAGTCATTGAATAATGAGAGCGATGTCCATTTTATCAGAGCTGAGCAGGTCTGCAGTGCTGAGTGGTTCACCATGTGTCGCCCCGATTTTATCGGGGACCATTCAGTGGTCCGGCCTCTTCGCTGCTCTGTTCTCCCTCGCTCATAAATTCAGGGTTTGTACATCTTCTGTGCTGTATGTTTGTAAGTACTGCCAAAGAAAGAAGCGTGCAGGCCCCAGAAAATACATGTGTATATAAATATATATATGTAAACGCACACAAATAATCTAATAGGAATTAAAAAACAACATATAGCTGGATCTCATCTCTTACACGCACAGATACAAGAGTTTCAGGCCTGTACAATCAAATTGTTTTGTTTTTATTTCTGAGCGTTTCTAAGTTTTTGTGTGCAGAAGAAGGAGACTGACAGACAGAGTCAAACGCATTACTATGTGTAATGAAATCAGATCAAAAGGGTTTTTATGATTTATTATTGCTTCTCAGTGTGTCAGCAATGCCAGGTGGACTGTGTGCGGAGGCTGTTTTTTCTTTTCTGTTTTAGACTTAATACATTGTGCATGTTTTAACCTTACTGTGGCTGGCGCACTCTGCATGTAGGTCTCTTGAAGCTGCCAACTGTACAGCGAACCATATGTATTCCAATAAAAATAAAAACCAACCTGTTTGTAACACGTCTCCATGCTGGAACCTGTGTCAGTGTGTGTGTCTGCAAGCGTTGCTGATGGTGTGTAAAAACTCAACCCATGTATGTTAATCTCTTTTCTGCTTTTTGCTGAACAAGCTCAGCAAGTTTTGATTTCATAGTGGTACTCTCTCTCTCTCTCTCTCTCTCTCTCTGTGTGTGTGTGTGTGTGTGTGTGTGTGTGTGTGTGTGTGTGTGTGTGTGTGTGTGTGTGTGTGTGTGTGTGTGTGTGTGTGTGTGTGTGTGTGTGTGTGTGTGTGTGTGTGTGTGTGTGTGTGTGTGTGTGTGTGTGTGTGTGTGTGTGTGTAAAAAATCCCCTGGTTTGAGCAGAGAGAACAGCAGCTGACGGTATGCAAAATAAGCAGGCAGACAAATTAGGCAATTTGGTCAGGTACAAAGAGGAAAACCACAAGCTGTTGTGGAATGCAAAGTCAGCACACAACTTTCTCTTAAACAGCTACGCCTCGCTTTGTGAAAGCCAGCACTTCTGTTCCCGCAACTGTCAGTTAAGTTTGCCAGCATGATATAGTCTGATAAATAGACATGTGGAAATAACCAACCTCTCATCCTCAGTTATTTTATTATCCACCAGTAACGCAGGAGAGTTTTTCTTGCCTGTTAATGTCCTACGTTTCCCAGAACGGTTCTGTACAACTCCAGAGAACAAGCCTGAACGTGTTGAATTAATCTGCATGGCCTTTATGTCTAGGTGTACACAGGTGACAGTGATGGAGCAAGAGATCAAAAATGTTCTGGTTGAGAACAAGTGACTCCTGGTGCTCAGCTGAATTGCATTCTGGGACATATGCTCTGGGACATTATAAATTATCAAACTATATGTCACACATCTTTATATAGAACTGCATACATGAATAAACATACATTGAGACAACTATAAATAATACTGGAATTCCTAATACTAGACCCCTTTGACACAGTTGAAATAGTCTGCTAATAAGGTGAAAGGTGAAATTCCACTTAATCCAAACACAAATGAACTGGCTAAAGTTGTTTCACTTTTTCTTGCATTAAAAGTAAGATTTCATTTCTGTGAGTTTGTTTGGAAGTTCCCACAAATACTGTTCAGATCCCACAGTGTAAAAATACTCCCATTATGAGTAAAACTCCTTTGGTTGGAAGCAAGGTACAAAAGTATTATCAGCAAAAATTTACTTAAAATATCAAAGTAGAAGAGCTTGTTCGTGTATTTCATTTTTAGATTTTAAAAAAAGAATACTTCTTAAGTAGCATTTTAGTGGAGTTGATGTATGTTTAGTTGTATTTAATTTAGGAATCAATGTATTTAAGTGACAATTGAGCTGAAGTACAGTACTTGAATGCATGTACTTACTTTCCACTACATATGCATGTATACAGTGACATACTATAATAATAGTATAGTAATGTAATTCCTTATCAGCTTCTTCAATATAAGGGTCTGGATATTGTGCATGCTTTATAGAACAAAGCCATTAATGTGACCAGTAACAGCTGTCCATCACCTATTGTAAATGATGAATACTTGTAGTCTGAAGACTTATTTCACACTTTAATCCAGTAAAGAAGCAAAAGAATAATCATCTCTTATTTTTAGCACAGAATCAAGAGTCAGCCTTGGTTTGCTTGCGTGGTGTCATAAGTCAAAATGGTTGAGAGTCAGGGGTTAACGCTGTCTCCTGCTTGCGTGGTTTAATCTGTCCTAAGTTCAGATGCAAGGAGGTGCTACCCTAACACAGTGGTGCCTGTTTGGACCCTGGTACTCCTGAGCCTCAGCGCTGATGCCTGACCTGAATTAATGCTGTGAAGTCAACCATGGAAATGACTCAGTTGCACTCCAGGCGAGTGTAGGAGGAGGACGATGGAGGAGTGAGAAGTGAGATAGAGGATTCACTGCCTACAACAGGTGTCATCTGTGAGAATGCGTCCTGCAGCGCTGAATAACTTTAGAGGTGACACTTGCTTGATAACTGTACGTGTTATATGGGATTTTATGTCATTTAGAAAAGTGGTTGTCTACAATCAAAGCTAGATAAAAATTTTAGGGATCACCAAAATTATTAGAGCCCATCCTGAGGTTGTTCAGTTGTTGAGACATTTTACTCAAAACCACAAATGTCAAGCTCATGGTGAGGTGGCGCTAAAAGAAAAGTCAGGGGATCACCAGAAGGATTCATCCTCTGGGGAGTATGAATGTTTGTACATCTTGGGAATCCATCAAATAGCCATTGAGTCATGCTGCCAGAAAAAAAAAAAACTAAAAATACTGAAACAGTTGTACAATCATTTCATGATTCATCTCATATTTTATTATTATGGATGATGTTCAAAATTCACATAACAGCATGTGGGAAGGGTTTGTACCTGTGTAAGTGTACATTCCACCCCACACCTATGAATCACATGAGATGTGTTCAGACACGCTGTGGTCTCTCATCCAGAGGATTTTTATAACCAGCTATCTGACTTTCTGTGTCTTTGCCTTTCTATCAAGTAATCAGTTGATGTGGGCTCGAGGCCATTATGAAAAATAACCTCACCAGTCAACAGTTACACACTGCGCTGAGCCTATGGTTTACCAGAGAGGTGAAAATACCCGAGTGCTGCAGTCCAAAACCCCAGCTCAAATTACTGTTGTTACATCAAACGTCTCCTTTGGTCACGATAATAATAACCACATCTCTAGGGGAAAACAAGGCCCGTGACGCTCAAGAGTGCATGGAAACAGAGGGGCACAGAGCCCTGAAATACAACTCCACAGAAAAGCTCATAGCTCATGGTTGACCATTTTAATCTCCCCCTCATTCATCAGATCCCCCACTACGTGGAGCTGCTGCCAGGGACCCTCATTTCTCCCTCTCTCATCACACACTAACACACACACACACACACACACACACACACAAACAAACCCACCCTGGGAAGCAGCCAGACCTGCAATGAAGGAGGGTCAGTGGAGGGTCAAATTAGAAGCAGCCATGTTACGTTCGTACATGCATGTTCAAGTACAAAAACTACACATCTGCAGGTCATAGCAGGACAGGAAGCACTTTGTTCTGAACACACACACACACACACAACTTTGTTACACTTTCCAAGAAGAAAGACACTGATGCAATTTCTGTCTTCTTTTAATAACAAAACAATTGACAATATAAAAAAAGTATGTGATGATAACCATAATAAAATACTTAAACTGCTATGGAAACAAAAACATTCACAATTCTTTCAACATATCCATCTTTTTAGCTTTTAAAACAAACTATTTTCACTACACTCTGCAACCTAAATGACAAAGTAAATTTAGGAGGCATACGGCTACAGTACACAGCAGTGTTTTAAGACAACCAAGACGAGGCCCCTGGAATGACACCAGAGGGAAATGTCTTTTGCTTAGATCAGCAGGACAGTTTTTATAGATTGTTACTGTGCTACTGAGCTGGTCATCTGTCTTATATGATATCTGGTTCTAGGTTGTGTGTACGTTTAGTATTTAGACAGGGCACATAAATAGATGTCGAGTTTTGCAAACATGCTCCACATGGAATCAAATATACTGCATCACTTCGGAGTACCTCACGTAATGCCATGCTTCTGTTTTTAAGACTGGAAAATCACATATTTATAAAGTCTTAGATGAGTTATTACATTAGTATGTAACAAAATTGGGATTCATTCCTCATTCTTAAACCCAGTCTTTGTAGTAGGTTACATCTGTTTTCATATTTTGCTGGAAATGTGTACAGTCACAAACATCCCACAAAAAAATCTGAGGAACGGAAATGTTCCAGTTAAAGAATCTATTTCACATCATACGCAAAGCCCGAAGATACATCTTCAAAGTGTCATTACTTGAGTAAAGGCAAAGATGCAAAGTTGTGTCTGTGACTTCCAAGATCTTTCACATACAGAAACACCAATGGGTGGGTAGACTTTTGTATTTTATCAGAAAAAAAATTGCTGTTGGTTTGAGAGTCTGGAGTTGGCAGGAACTAGTAGAGGCAATTTCAGACACTGGGGGTGGGCTGAGCCTGCTGAGGGTTGCTGGCGGCCGTGGGAGTGGCCTGCCGGGGAAGTGTGTACATGGCACCCAGGAATTGATCTGCAATGCGTCCAGCCTCACGGAGACCGCTGAGCAGGGCGCCGTGGACTGTAGCGGGGTAATTCCTTATCGTGTGCTCCCCAGAGAAAAAGAGACGAGGGACGGGCTGAGGGGGGGAAAAAGAAAAACCACATTGAGATCGATGTCGGATTGTCCCGACATAAGAAGGAATAAAAGAAAATAAGGGATTGATGAGAGAAGGAAAAGTGTGGTAGTAAACTGCCAGAACTCATCAGGCAACGCATAAATATGACTTGTTCACATCAATCAGCATGCCAACATCAAAACAGCCAAAAAAACATCTGTGTGGGGAATAAACTGCTCTGCTTTGGTTTGGTTAAATATTGTGGTCAGGGTTGGGATGCCTTTTCTCCCTCGCTTTCTCACACACATATAAACTCCCATTCTCACCAAACACAAACTTCTTCAGTGTTCATGTGCTTACCTGTGAAGCTCCCGGTATAGCAGGGCCGGGCGTGATGGGTTGCGCCATCAGGTCATAGTCGTTACCCGAAGAACCTGCAGCAACGTACGAGTAGGAGCCCCGTGCCCAGGGGTCTGCACGCCAACGAGTGACCACAGTTTCCTTTGGCTGCCATGACAACAAACAACAACACATAGTTTTTAGGAGTTTCCATGATGATATTGGAGGGACCTGTAAACAGCTGTATGGCAAACTGTTCCAAACGCTGGCCTCCATGCATATGATTTTATCCCATTTGAAACCATAAGCAAATGATTTATAATGACGGGTGGTTTGGATATGACTCCACTTATGAGTGCCTTTCACATGTGCTCGCTGTGTAAAGCTGGTTATGGGGGTCGATTCAGGAACGAATTTGACATTCCACATAAAGTAGTGGAAAAACAAGAGAAAACGCTAATGAT